GCTCAGCAAGAATCAGATACAACCGAAAGTTGTACATTTGAAAACACACTGTTGTAACTAATGAAAGCACCTTCCCAGAGAAAATGTAAGCTGAAGGCAGTGTGACTCCTTGACATCTTGAGCATGCCTAGACGAAGTAATCAAAACCAATCAATGAACTGTTAAACAGCTGCTATTTCTGAAACGAACGTTCAGATCCGAAAGTAGGCATTAATTAAGTGTAATCACCTGTTATCCGTGACTGAATGCTTAAATTTTCAATTTCTAAGTTTCTGTGTTTTCGGATTCAAACTTGCATAGATTTAATTTCATTGTGGTGTGCCTTCCATTAACTGCAAAAATGTATTCAACATGCAAAGAGCGCTCGTTAAGCGTTCCCGAAATAATGACCTGTCAATATCACAGATGTATCGATATTTGAAAGGCTTTACAGGGATCGAATCAGTAAGGATAGGCACTGCAAAGCATATACTTATTATCCATAAAACAGCAACAAATGTTAACGTGTGCCATCGACTGAACACTGGCCGATGCGGGAAAAATAGCGTTAGAGTTCGCTCTACAGCCATCAGCATTATACTCATTAACAACTCCATAGCGACAAACTGCAATTCCTTTGTGCATTGATTGTAAAAAACTATAGAAAATAATAAAACAAAAAAATACCGGTATCTGATTTCAGAAAGAAGTTAAAGTTTTTGCCGTTAAGAAACCAGTCTCTTGCTTTTTTATGCGTTTTTGCTGTGCAGCGCTATAACACTGCTACAGCCAGCAAAAACGCATATTGTCGAGAAGTTGTCTGTGTGTGTATGTTCGGGAGCGAGTGAACTTTGTCACCCACTTTCATCTCAGCAACCAGAAAAGCTGGGAGGCTGAAATTTTGGAGTCATATTGCCACTCTATGTGTTGGCCTCCCTTTTTGAAATCCTCGCTCATATGCGCCAAGATCCCGCGTACGGGCCCCGAAAAAAATATGCAAATTTCCTTGGCGGGAAAAGATTTCACGAACCAGGCAAGGCACAAAGCTGAAACTTTGCAGGAATGTTCTCTGTGTGCGCGCGAGCTAAAGATTTCAAATTCAGCTGTCGCGCACGCTTGTGCAGCACATACGATCTTGCCAAAGTTTGCAACTTGATACTGTGCTAACTCGAAAACTTGCCAGAAAACAGTGGCTGAAATCGTATA